GGGGGGGGGGGGGGGGGGGGACCGTGCAGAAAAAAAGGAAGGAACGATTTCTGAGGGAGGTGCAGGCACTGAGAGGCCGCAAGGGGACAGGGAGGTGGAGATACTCGTAGGACATGTTGGCGCCAGTGTGGCACCCCGTCCGTTGCACCCATGGAAAAAAGGGAACAACTCGAGATTCGAGCGTGGAAAGCCTGTCGAGCAATATCTTATATGAGAAGAGAGAGACATATCCTGCGAAGAGCAGTCCCTGCGCATGTTCAGACTTCGAGAGTCGTCGAGAGGTGGTGGGAATCTCGTCACGATACCGTGACGGAGCAGCCTTTGCCGATCTGCAACTGCAGCCAGCCCAAGCTCTTCAGCAACAAGGCTGGCCGGAGGGTGTAGAAGAGTTGGATGAGAGAATGAAGATGGTTTTACAGCGCATACGCCATAGCCCTTGGGTTTTCGGCACTCCGCGGGATGCTGATGTTTCTGAACGTTCCAGCTAAAGCATCTCTCAAGGCAGCTATTTATCCCACAACAAGCGCAATCGCAAGCACCGTTTCAGGATTCAGCCCGGTGCGAGCTCAACAAGTTTGCCAGCAGCAAAAAGCGCAACTCCAGGGCAAAGCCCTGCTGATTGGTTCGCCTGCCTAAAGCTTGAAAGGTCCTTGCTGTCGTGTTACCAACCGGGTCCGCACTTTGCCCAGGTTTGATGACATGATGACGGTCCTTCATGATTCTCGGCATTGATGAATGGTGTCTGTGACATGGGCTATCGCTCAGTATGTTGAACGGAACACGGGCATCAACGTCTCAAAGCACTTGCCCCGATCAGGAGACGGTGCTTGGCTTTCGGCAGGTTGTGGCCGTGGACCGTCAACTTGATGTGTTTAATCGACCCTCAGCTCGAAAAAAAAAGCCCCTCCGCCCGAAACAGAAAACCTTTCGGAAGGCAACCGGACCCTAAACTTCCCTAAACCCTAAACCGGGCACTGTTTTGTGAGGCGCCTGGTGCGTCGCAGAACTTGTCGAGGCGAGGAGCCGCGTCGGAGAACTCTCTGCGCGGCAGTTGATTCATATGAGCAGCGTTCAAAACTCACATATATATATATATATGTATGTATGCATATATATATATATATATATCATAGACACATCTGTAAGGGTGACCAGATACAAGACCCTCGGCGAGGCGAGCCGATTGGACATGCAGCAGGTCATCCAGGCCGGGCGCGTGGAACCGTACGACCCACAAAAAATGGTGTCGATTGTATGGGTTTAGGGTTGTATGGGTTGTATCGGTTTAGGGTTGTATGGGTTGTATCGGTTTAGGGTTGTATGGGTGTAAGAGTCAAAGTTATAGACGATGTTGTATGGCACACTAAGAGGCATGTGCTTGTTCAACTGCACATCAGAACTTGTCGACACGAAGCGGGACTCAGCACATGCCTCCGTTGCAGATGATGCGCTTTGTTCATCGTTCGAGGTGCACAGTACATCAGCGCTTGATATCTACTCCGCGCCTTGGCCGACGCACCGCTCACATCCCAAACAGCATGTCGCAGGCAGCATGAAGATTCAGACAACATGCTACGACTTAACGAGCACCAGTCGGCAAGGGCGACACCGAAGCCTATGCCACCCTGGCGACGCTCTCCGTGCGGGATTGTTGCGCCTCCAGGCAATGGAAAGCAAGCCAGCCTTCCATCAGTACTAGTTTGGCCAACTAGTTCCCGAGCTCTGAGTGTGTGACATGAAATGTGCTCCCTTTGGATTTCAGAGCAGTTCAGGCAAGCTTCAGTAGTTTTGGTTAGGATCACGAGCGAAGGCCAGAAGACAAGGAGGATATCTTGGCAAGGATTGGACACTTGGCTCCAGAGTTCTTGCCAGTGCAGCCAAACCGCAAGAATCCACAGATGTAAGTAGCTGATGCGCTTGTACACTGATTGGTCGTGTGGGCCGTTCAATTGTGTTGCTGTCCTTGCATGGCAGACACTTGGATCGGCAAATGCCTCTGGTTGGATTGTGAGATGTCGTATTTGGTAGAAAAACATATAAAGATATCAGAAACATAATAACACCATATTGTATTTTACTCTGTACATCATTACACATTATACATGCTGTGTAGCACAAGGTGACACGGAGGAGTTCGATGCCAAGCTGCACACTGCAACCCGGTTGAGACTGTCGATCTCGTTGGCAGACACGACAACACGTGCCAGATCAGGGTTTTAATAATTAGAATAGGGTTTTGGAGTATATTACATTATAGTCATATTAGGGCACCCTCAAAATAGTGTTGGTAATCATGGCGCACTTACTACTGTAGTAGCAAAATCTAGTGGTGCAATATGTTGGCCTGCGCCGCGGAGCTGCTGGAAAGTTGCACTCGAAGGGAGAGGTGGTCTGCAGGAAAATGGGGTTCCTTTGCAATGAGTTTGAAGCATCCTGCAAGACTACACCGGATTCGGTGGGGTTGTAAATGTACTGATTGAATGTTCTTAAGTTGTTCGCGTTGTGCAAAGTCAACGTGCCAGCTGAAAAGAATTTAATCCAGCAAGGACTCCGCAGGGAATCGTGATCTGGAAAACGGTTGAATGTGAGTTGCGTAGTTGCCGATGGCTCTACTATGCTATACTCACAACTCCCCGAATGATTGTACCATGCTTCGTGAATCTGCTGGGAAGAGTCCCTGCCATCACCATTCGGAGTTAAGCAGGTCGTGAGGCAAAGGGGGGTGTTGTGCAAATTAGGGCCTCGCTTATATTGCAAATGGTATTCTCATTGGCAATACGAGCATTGGCGCGAGAATAGCCTCCGCCCAGATACCCGAAACCGCCCACTCCAAAATCCTGCAAGCCAACCCGGTCTCTATTTAGGTGTTCTTCCTTAGACTGCGGAGGTCAACCTTAAACACAAAACCCCTCAACCCTAAATAGACCATCCTATATAAACCATAAATCCTAAACCCGAAATGAGCCATAAACCCTAAACCCTATATAAGCCATAAATCCTCAACCTTATATAAACCATAAATCCTCAACCCTGCAAATATACCATAAATCCTGAACCTCAAATAAAACCCAACTGTAGGTGATCTTCGGACAGCATGGACTCCTCGGTCGCCGCTTTCACGGCTTCGGGGCTCTGGATGCGGCGGCGCGCACTGCGCGCAGGGCCCGGGCTCCCAGGTCTCTTGGTTTTGGAGGTTGAGGGGTTGAGGATTTAGGGTGCAGGGTTTAGGATTTAGGGTGCAGGGTTTAGAGGGTTCAGGGCTTAGGAGTTAGGGTTTAGGGTTGAGGATTTAGGGTTGCAGGGTTTAGGGTTTAGGATTTAGGGTGTAGGGTTTAGGGTTTAGAGGGTTTAGGGCTTAGGAGTTAGGGTTTAGGATTTAGGGTGCAGGGTTTAGGGTTTCAGGGGGGTTTAGGGTTTCGAAGGTCTAGGACGCATTGTAGAGCTTTTCGGCTTTGGCAAAGGTTCTTTGCATAGGAGCTCAAGCACGATGAGGTTGTCGACAAAACAACAGCAAGAACATAGAGACCTGACTGTAGAAGAAACAGTGGCGGCACTAGTAGCAAACAAGTTGTTCCACGCAATCTCTGGCCCGAAATGACGCTACTTCTGGGAGTGAACGAAGTTCCCTCCAAAGACACGTGATGCCCAGGTCAATGAAGTCGTGACGCTGAGAAGGACTGCCATTGGAGACCCGTTCCGTATTGCGTTTGAATGTCCATCCGGTTCCGCTGAGTGTCACTAGAGCGGATAGCGCTGGTTACGAAAAGCCCGGATATGTGGAAGCTTCCGACCAAGGCTTTCAGGTCAGTGTTTTGCAGGATCATTCTGTTCAAAACGTAGCTGTTCAAACGTAAGCGTCTAGGATCCTCCGCCCGACTGTCACTAGCTTGTGCAGCCGCCACTGGCAGGAAGGCCGACTCAAGCCGGGAATGAACATGAGAGAGATCGTATCAGATTCATCCGCAAAGATCGCCGAGTTGCCTACCGTTGACAGCTTTTGCACAGCAGGTTGTACGATGGTATCTTCCTGTAGACCAGGCTTCCAGGCCTCCGTTAATGCACGGGCGATGTTGCCTCTTGGCAGCCCTTCGCCCCGCGAATGCAATTTGAACTGCATTTGGGCAAAGACCCCACCCCGAAAGCAATTATGGCAGGGATCCAGCTTGTACAGTATTTCCAGGCTACATGGATGCCACATGTGATCCAACAGCGGAAGCACGCGCACACAGACGAGCAGTTAGAAGAAAAGTGCCTGGCCGGGTCTTCTTTTAGAAGACCTTATGCTTACCTCGTAGTCAGCCTAGTCAAGCCGTGAGAAGCTCGCCTTGCTGTGTTCGACTACTGTATGTCGGGCAGGCTCACAAGGCAGTCGGGACAGAAAGCAACTTGGCAGCCTGTTAAGTCGCGTCGCACAAGGCCGTTTATGCTGGTAGAATACCATCATGTGATCGAACACGACATCCCATCGCACATTGACATGATGATGAGAAATGGTGAGTTTACGGAACACGAGGGTGGAGTTACCATGTTATGAAAGATGATAACCGTGAGAAGAGTGACGTTCAGACACACCGCAACGACCACAACGGAGACCGTGTTGCTGAGAACCAGAATAGCTAGGCCCATAATTATTCTTAACCAGAACAGTATGAAACAAGGAATGAAAATTGCTTACTTGACCGCACAGAAGCGCTTGTCATGTGATGACGCATGCAAACTTCGGACACGGGCACTGTGCAATCTGTGCATTTGCTTGCAGGCACAGGACGATACCCTGGCTTGAGCTTGCTACAGCAAGAAGTGGTAGTGCCGTCGTCATCGTTTGGGCTCCGTGTGCTTGTCATGCGGTGGATATGATCGTGCAACCAGGTCAGCCTTTTTTGCCTTGTTGTGCTGGAGGCTTGACAAGTTGACAAGCCGAAAATGTTAAAAAGCGGCCGCACACATGGTGTGACATGGTGTATGTATGTGTGTATATATATATATGTGTGTGTGTGTGTGTTTTTGTGGGTGTTTGTGGGTGTTTGTGGGTGGGTGGGTGCTTGTGTGTGTGTGTGTGTGTGTGTCTGTTTGTCTGTCTGTCTGTCCGTCCGTCCGTCCGTCCGTCCGTCCGTCCGTCCGTCCGTCCGTCTCTCTGTCTGTCTGTCTGTCTGTCTGTCTGTCTGTCTGTCTGTCTGTCTGTCTGTCTGTCTGTCTGTCTGTCTGTGTGTGTGTGTGTATGTGTGTGTGTGTGTTGGTTGGTTGGGGGGGTTGTATGTATGTATGCATGCATGCATGCATGCATGTATGTATGTATGTACTTACCTAGATGAACGTCCATAGAACTTGGCCCACAGTCGGGCAGCAAGGCCACCAAGTGACTCGGAGGACTCTCAGGCCAGTCGGGTCGACTCTGAGATTTCGGGGCTCCGCAGCATCTGATTTCGGCAAGCGAGCTGAGCGCGTTCCCGAGGAAGCCCTGACTGTCGGGCAGTTTTGGATATGTGCTATTTCGGGGGTTGAAGTGAATCCAGTGAAGGCCTAACCCATGGCTTGCGCGCAATTGCTCAAGCAGCTCCCGGCTTGCCTGTCTCACTGTTGCACCGGAATTGCTACCTACATGTAGTTAGTTCTGTCACTTTCGTCGTCCGTCCACACAAGCTGATCGCTGCAACAGCACGGCAGTTCCAGCAGCAACGACTTCAGCCCCACACGCCTTACTACCCACAACCTCCTGCCGCCGTGGAATGGCAGACGTGATACTGGGAGAGCGTTCTCGTGCTGTCACAGTTGGGCGCTCACACTTTGCCACTGCCGACGACGAAGAGCCGCTTGTTTCAGGGAGTACATGTTCTCAGGGATGTTGTTTCAGGTGCCTGCCATACCACCGCAGGGGACGAGATGTAGGAGTTTCTGCAAGTTTTGGCACCCCCTATATAACATATAGCAGGATCCTTTGTGAGGCTCCAGACTCCAAAACAGCGATTTGTAGAACCACTTCCCCCCTAAGAACCGATAGGACTCCCTCGAGGACCACACACCAATGTCTGGTTTTAGTTTACGGATTCCCACGAAGCCTTTCAAAAGTCTTTATAAGCCCCAACGGAAGTTTGCAATTTCAAGCAGCCCCTTCCGAATCAGTTGCCAGGTTGGGGAGGCAAGTCGAGGAGTGGCAGGCTGCTCCACGCGTTCCTTGGCTGGCTCTCCCTTGCATCCCCTTGCAGGGTTCTATAATCTATAGAGGTTTTGGTAGGGTTTTTTGCTGAGGGCTTTATCCCCCATACCTGGGGTCGTTAAAGTCAGGATTCGAGTCGCGGCCTTTGCGTCGGTTCCCATCTGTTGTCTGCTCCGCCGTTATTGCAGCCAAGCAATGCTTGCCTACCACCTCTCGCAGGCTGGAAAGGCCAGCATGCTAAAGAGAGGGTCGACAAAGCCATGCGACCTGGATACCTATGAGCTCGACTGGGATGACCTAGGGAAGCTTGGCTTCTTCAGGCCCTTCCTCCCTTTTCCTTCATAAGGGCCTCATATTTCATCAAGATCTTTAGCCAAAATGCGATCCATGAATCCCTATACCCCTAAGCTTCCCTAAACCTTAAGCCTTAAGGATGCAGCTACCTTCCATGCCGCAGAAAGCTCCTTCTGCTTCTGAGCCTGCCCCGGCTCCAGCGAGCGCTCCCGCCCCGGGGCCGGTGGCCACGCAGGCGGGGAGTTCGCGAAAAGAAAGTAGAACAAGCTACGCTGTAAAAAAATCATCACATACTGTCATGCAATATACGTTTATAGTATGACATAAGGTCATAGTAATCAGTATGCTGCAACCGGCAATGCCCCTCAGGCAAATCCCGCCGAGGAGTGGACCCTGGCTTCGAGCCTAGATACAGTTGCGGGCACTGGGAGCTGTGAGAAAACCACCCTAAACCCTAGCACAAGAAGACTAAGAGTTTGACTGATCAGCGTCTGACCTAAGGCGCGGTTGGAAAGAAAGGTCATGGAGGAGGCAATCGACCGTGCGGGTTTGCAGCATGGTATGTCAACCTCACTGCTGTCATAACGTAAGGGCTTTGATGCCAGGAGTCCTTCGAAAAGCGCCGCAAAAGCTCGTCGGCCATGCGGGCACTTGTGCCTCGGCAAGCTTTGTTGTGATTCTTTTGACGGTAAAGAGTCAAGAGGCTTTATGATCAATATTGATCAATGGGTCGACCAAGGGAGACTCGGCTTTTTAACGTAAGCCACCTGAGGAGGAGTGCTACGAGGACGCAGCATGGGACAGCTTTGACGTGTCGGAGACCGCTGAGGCCACAAAGCACCAAGCCCGAGTCATCGCATTCCGCGAGCGACTGGGGACAGGGACAACTACAGGTTTTCCACGTTCCTGTCATGGCAGGTGGCTCCAGCACAGCCGATGCCCCTGGATGTCCAGGCAAAGCTCTCGGTTTTTGTCCCATCGGATCATTAAGCCTGGCACCATGTTAGCACGGCCATGTCCTTCGCCCAAGGTCCCACAGGAGCTCCGAAGACCTAGCGAAGAGCGGCTCAAGCTGCCAGGGGCCGAGCGATTCTTGTTGTTCCACCGGCGCTCATTTGTGCCCAGCACTTCCATTGCCGACCCAGTGCTGCCGTAAAGAAGTGTGCCTAAACTTCCAGCGTTAAACCCAGCATACAAAGATACATTAAATTGAAAATCTTTGAAATACCGATACCCGGGCCCAACCTGAACCTTTTGCCTGTTTTCTGAAAGGCAGCTACTTGGTCGAACCCATAACCAAGCAAGCGCCAAGCCTAGATTAACATATCAACCGTACAGACAGCATTTCATCTCTACCATGGTCTAGACCCTTAAACCCTAAACCCTAAACCGTTAGACCCAGGGGCGATCAAAAAAACAAAAAAACGTTAGACCCATCTAAATCAAAAACCTAAAACATCACTGCTCAGGGGCGAATCCAGACCAAGGGCTAAAGAGACGCCACCGCGAGGACGGCCAAGGGAGCTACCGTGTTCGAGGTCGTGGTTTATGTTAGGGTTTAGGGTTTATGTTAGTTTATGTTAGGGCTTAGGGTTTATGTTAGGGTTCAGGGTTTATGTTGGGTTTTGTGTGTTGCTGTGCTTGTAGGCTTGAGGGACGAGGGGAGGGCTTTCTGTGCAGGGCTTGGCTTTGCAGTACTTTGCAAGACTTCTGCACAAATGTGTAGTAACGAGGTTTTTCTCAGTCCAGCATGAGCCGCAGCACCACCACCCCTAAGGCTTTATTGCACCCCGAAGCCCGAAAGCCTGAACCGTTTTCCAGAGAGGACCGCCGGCGATGCGTCCGGGGCAGGCTCCGGCTGCGGGGCCACAGCGCAGAGTCCAGTGCCCTGCGCCGGGCGTTCCCGGAGGCCTCGCAAAGGCCTCAGCCAAGACACCAGGCCCTGGCCCACCTCCAGCAGTGAAGCACCAAAGCATGCAGCACCCTGGAGCTGGACCACAGTCCAGAATGCCAGCTCCGACGAAGTACCAGGCAATGCCGCCGCCGAACCCGACACCCAAGGTGCCAGGTGCTAAGCCTTTGCCAGGCCCTCTTACAAAGGCTCCCCAGGCTGTGATGAGACCACAGGCTCCGGGGCAGCCTCGGTTTGCCCCGGTTCAGCGACAAGTCGTTGCTCCACAGATGGCCGTATTGGGGGCAATGAGGGCCGGGACCGTTCCGGCTCATAACCTAGTGCCAGCACACCCACACGAAGCCCAGCCACAGCTTTCAACTTCGCAGCCAGATGTCAGGCTCGTGCCACAACCAACCGCATACTCCCAGACGCAACAGTTGCAGGGACAGCAGGTAGAAGTCATGCTCATGCCGCAAGCAGCGCTGCAGCAGCACGAGCCCCAGCCACAGCAAGTGCCACCTGGACCGCAGGCAGACGTCAAGCTCGTCCCACAGCCACAGCTGAACCACGCCCAACCGCAACCGGCTGTTCAGCCGCAAGAGCCCCTACCAAGAAATCCATCCGAGCAGGCTGAAGTCAGGGCCCTCGCGCCGCCAATGCAACATGTGCCAACCGGGCAGGCAGAGTTCAGACCTATGCAGCCTAACCCCCACGAGGCCCAGCCACAGATGCCTGGTCCACAGGCCCAGCAGCTCCTCCCGCAATCCTCTCGTTTCGTGCAAGATTCGAGCCAGGCCCGGGGTTCAAAAATTTCCAAAGTGCAGGAAGGCCGCTACCATGTGCACAGACTGCGAAAGAATCCGCAACTGCAGTACCTGAGTTACAACTCCGCTCTGCCGTGCTTGCAGACCACGTAACCCTCTGATCCCCAGACTTTCGTGGCCCCAAAGCCCAAAAAGGTTTAGTCAACACATACGAAAGCTTCGGAGGCCACGATTCTCTACCCCTCACCGGCCTCCGGCTTCAGGCCGGAGACCCAGAGGCCGCCAGAGATCCGGAGAGCTACGGCTTTTGCTCTAAGATTTTTTTCGGCCTTAAATTGTCGGCATAGATGCCAGTACTAAATACAAGACTCGTAGATTCTTCCTACAAGTACTTGTCCTGATGCCTATGTCACGCATCCGATAGCATCAGTGGTTGTTTACATGTATCTTCTTCTTTCTCTATGGGCATGGGTCCGGTTCAGACGCGCTTCTAGCAACAAATTAGAGATGAAACTGACGGCAGCTAGCCCGAAAGGGTGGACAGTCCTTCGTCAGTGTTGACGGAGCCCCCGGTACTGAACGGCAGAAGTCAGGATGTCGCATGATGCCTCCAACCACACCACCTGGCGCTCACACACGAAAGCGGAGCGCTGCAGTTGAAGGGATACACACACACACATATATATATATATATATATATCGATTTCGAGAATATACATATTATGTATGTAGGTATGTATGCATGCATGCATGTATGCATGTATGTATGTATGTACGTATGTATGTATGTATGTATGTATGTATGTATGTAAGCATGTATGTGAGTAATGTATGTATGCAATGCAATGTAATGTAATGTATGTATGTAATGTGGTGTAGTGTAATGTAATGTAATGCAATGTAATGTAATGTGGTGTAGTGTATGTAATGTAATGTAATGTAAT